CTTTATCCCAAGCTATTATCATTTCTCGCACCCATCCTGCCCGGCCGCGTTGGTTAGCAACGCTTTGGAAAGGACTGGACGGTCTATAATGTTGTTAGGATTGGTAAACGTTCATGACAACCTGGTCTAAAAACTTATTATCTTAGCTAAACAAATAGGAAAGTGAAAATAGACTTTAAAACTTAACAAGCACTGTTGTATTTCCGGCTCACCTGACACGTTTGATAAGGTTTTTTTTTTCTTGTCCTTGACAAGTGAACGATTATTTTCGGCTGGACCTATGGTTGTATGACAGAGAATAAAATATTTTTCCAAAAGTTCACAGCTTCACTCCACGAGAACGTAAAACTGTCTTGCTAAACGATTTTTCGTGAGGTGAATTGGGTGAAATAAAAATCTAAGCGCAGGAAAAAAAATGAAAAAGAAAAGTTAAAAGGAAACAGAAAAACATTATTCATTTTAAGCTTAAAAATAAGAAAACAAAGTATATTTAGTCTTTCTAAACGTAACTAGATTAAAAATTGTTTTTGAAATATCAGTAAAGCGGATCAGATGTTTTTCTCAAAGAAGTGGGCATTAGGGCAAACTGGTGTAAGCTTTCCCTTTGAACCACCATAACTAGTCGCTTGTAAGGAACGACCGATTAGTTCAGTTGCGACTCCAAATCAACGTCATATTCTTATTGAATAATTGTATATTCCAGATTCAGTGAAACTAGTGCTGTTTTGATCTCTTTTTTTGCCCGGCGTGTACCATTGGGAGAAATTTAGGAATAAGACTCGGTTTCGAAGACACATAAATTTATCCTTCGCAACCAATGCCATCAAAAACAAGTACTTTTAAGGACATTGAACATCACTTACCAAAACTAACGGGATGTTTACTCTGGTATAATCTTCAGAATATATGCCGACAGTTTTGCGGAACTAGTGTAAAATTTTCAATGTCTTCGCTACTAAGGTTACCATAGTACCATTACCATCACTGCAAGGAACGTTCTGATATTGAAAGCGAAGAGGCTTAAAATGTTCGCCTGCTATCACGGAAATCTTACACATTTTCGAGTGTAATCTCCCTATACATCCCTTACCACTATGCGTGGAGGCTATCATTAACAAATTTCCACATCGAGTCGGTAAAATGCGGGAGATGTTACTCAACAAATCTTTATATCTTAGGGTAACCTTCCCAATACCTGAAAAACCGTGGATTACTCACCAATTTGATTCAGTCTGTCACAGTAGACGGTGTCAAAGCAACTAGTAATTCGGATTTGATAATTTCATCAGTCCATTTTATTCGCTAAGGTAATATTGGCAAAGGTAATACTGGCTCCTGAAAAAGGTCTCAAAAGCATCTTTCGTTCACTTCCGAATAAAACTACCCAAGTTCATTGAACCTCCGCCAGGATTTTGAGAAAACAATTCATTGATAACCATTATGATTATGTTGGAAAAAAATGCTGAAGCGTCTGCCAGATCAAGGATAACGCATACACAGAAGGCAGGGGAGACATGGTAGCAGATGGCATTCAGGGGTATCATACACGGCACGCATATGCACGAATTCGGGTGAGAAATTCCCACACTGCCAGTAGTCGACGAGAACGCAAAAAGGGGGAAGGGGGGTGGAGGGGAGGAGGGAAGGTCTCACCTCCGACGCTCTGCGTACCCCAGGTGAAATTGCTCATACTTCCCCTCTACAATGTGTATCAGCGGGTTTGTATTCCTGCGGAAATACGGACCTCTAAATTAATGCAGTGTCTTACTTCGGAAAATATTAATGCCACGAAGATGTGCAAGTTTTCGCGCGCCTAAATCATAAGATTTGTATGATACTGACTTTAAAAAGGACGAAATCTCATTTAGGGTGAAGGGGAGGGGGAATTGGTGGGCTCCCCAGGGCCCCTTTGGCTTCGCCCCTGGGATGGTGAATGAATTTATCAGGACGAGAAGGGGCTAGGGCGTGACACACCCGAGACACACCCTATCTCTTCCGCGTCTCGTCTCAATCCATCTTTGACCAAAATTTTCGCTCCATGTCGAGAAAGCACTTGTTTTCCCTACTCGAGAGCAAAGCAGACTAAAACCAATTTAATAAATTCTCCTTTTAGGGAAGGTACGTTTTTTCTTGGGGGGGGGGGGGGG